TGCTTCTCCACGGGAATCGCTAGCCGACCGCCTCCATGCTCTCTGGTTCTCATCTTCGAACCAACAATTCTGGCTAGCTGCTCAGCAGTTGCTTAAAGGAAAATAAAACTATGTCAGCATGTGTTTATTCAGAAATGAAATGCTATATAGAATTAGATGCAAATGTACTCGTGTAAGAAGAAGGAAAAATGTATGATAAACATTGGTTACTAGCTAGACGCGTTCGGGTAAATAATGGGGGAAATGTCGAGTCAAATGCTTCAGATTTCAAGATTCCAACTGTTTTATTTGTGCATAAAGCCCGGCGCACACGTGAGTAATTTTACTCAAGTAAAATGATGCATGCGTCAAAATACTCAATGGAAATCCACCGCACACGGGTGTATTTTGATGCATGCATCATTTTACTTGAGTAAAATTACTCACATGTGCGCCGGGCTCAAGACATACATATATACACATCATTATCAAAGAAAGTACAATTTTAATCAGTTAAAGCACGGAAGTGCCGAAGGACATTTAACTCATCTAGTTTGCCACCCAAAGAGTAGATTAATTAGAGCAGGCACTGAATAATATCAAGTTAAAATCTACTAATTATGTTTTAATTAAATTTTAAAGTAATATTTTATGTTTACCTTTTAAAGGATTAGTGTTGAGCTTTTAAACCTCAAAATATCCCAGCCACACTTAAATATATCGTAGATATGTTTATATCCTTCAAGTATGTAAAAAAAATCTGTCAAACTAAGCACGCAGTAATGTTGCTACACCGGTTTATATATTCGAAATCACCGCGCTGCGATAAGAAATGCCGGAGCCCTGACGTCACGCGATTACACTGTACGACCTATTGTAAAAGTGTGTGTTTGCGATGGAGAACGAGTGTGATTTCGACGAGTTAGTTCACAGTTCTCATGGAAATATTGAGCCGTATCAATTTGAACCTATTGCAAAGGAGGAAAATAGCGATTTAAGTGAATCTGAAAGCATGTGATACTGCAGAGAACGAGTATGGCAGTGGTGATGATGGCAATGACGATCGCCTTCTGAACACAGAATGGTGTGCCAGTTTGCTGCAGAGAATTGTATTACTAGTAGTATTAGGTGGCTTAGCTCTGCTCATAGGGTCTATGTCCCCCAGGGTACTGCCGGAACGTACCCTGGGTACGGTCCGGTATACCGGAACGTACCCTGGTCACTATTTGATATGGTAAGGGGTTAGGGAGTAGGCGTAGGCGACTCCCTAGACTCGTTAGTGGAGTAGGTGAGGTACGGTACGGCATATAATATACCAAGGTACGTTTCGGTATACCGGACCGTACCCAGGGTACGTTCTGGCAGTACCCCGGGGGACATAGACCCTCTCAGCCTTAGCTCTAGTACTATAGCCTATAGGTGGCTCACATTTTATTTATATATATTCATTGAACGATCGAGTCTCTTAGTCATAACTAAATAATAGTTGCAATCCTGTTGTTTACACTAGTTGATAATTGACAATTTGACAATACCTCTAGACATGCGAAAAACGCTCCTAAAGTCGTCAATGTTGTACGCTGATACAACATAAGCTATTGATTGCCGACGGTTGCTAGGGGCAACGCCGTAGAATGGATGTAGCGACGCGGGGATCCCGCGTCGCATGAGGGGGGGAGTTGCCTTGTAACGTGGTTGTTACATACGTGCCACTTTGATCATGCACGAATCATGCCAATTTGGGGTTGTTGGTGATTCTGGCATGGGCATGAGCCAGAACCTCATGCTATGGCGAGACTCAAATCTGGCAGCTCTGCAACTATACCTGCTAGAGTCGAATGTCAAATGATTGATTTTCCGTTGTTTTTTTCAGGTGCTCATAATAGTATTAACAGGAATACGGAGACTAGGTGCGCTTTATCTACTCCACCAAACATCACATCATCATTGAACCAGGCAACATTAGGTAAGTTGCAGTATTTTGCTCTCACCATGGTGACCATGGCACCAGCATTGTCGTCCTCAGGAGTCATTTGCCTTTGGAGACCAGACCATTTCAGCTTCTTCCTCTTTTAATACTTGTAGGAAACCACTCGATAATTCTGTTAGTGGTGTGGGGGGGACCAGTGGATCTGTAGTAGTTTTCTGGATAACGATTCATCTTGAATGCATCAATCTCTCTTGAACTATATATGTAATTTCCACTCTGAATTTGTGGCCAGTACTATCTTCGGGTTATCACCAGACCTGTGGAAACTTGATCCACATCCTCCACATCCCTATTATTTGAATTTAATATAAATTCGACTCATTTGACACAATTTCAGAGCAACTCCTTACTATAATGGCGAAATGCAACAGGAGCAAAAGAAACAAGGTGAAATCTATAGACGGTTGGAACAACGCCAACTCTGTGAACCAGGCGAGCCAGCTGAAGACATCGAAGAGCCAATATTCGTTTTGCCATGCAATACAATAGACGACTTGCAACACCTGGACAGCCAACTGAAAACTGATCACACCAGAAGAAAAATGGTGAACTTTTATTATATTCCATTGTCAGTTGTTAACACAGAGTGAATTTGCATTCATACAGACTTCCATAAATCGATTGTCTTGACAGGTTTCCCGAATTTCAAAATGGAAGACGTCCCACTGGAAATGCAAAGTAGTGAAAATTGGCTGCACGTCAATACCAACCTTTGCACTTACATGAAGGGCATTGTGTTTGTTTTTAGTTTGCTCTGGCATTAGGCCTAAGCCCTATGAGTGGATATGTGTGCCACTTCGGTTATGTGCCAATTGGGGTTACTGACATGGGCTTGTGAGGCAAAGAGACCTGCCCTCACTCCACAGTGGGATTTGAACCCGGGACCTCTGGCAATCGAGGCGGAGACTCAAGCCCCTACGTGCCTCTTCCGAAGACATATGATCATGATCCCCATGCTCTAAGGACATTTTGACTTTAGACAATTTAAAGTATTAAAATTGCTGTATCATCGTCCCTTTATTTCTTTGGAGTTTATTCATACTTTAATATCATTTCCTTTTTTCAGGTACGAAATCTGAGCTTACTGGGCGGTGTTATCCTGAAGTCTGTAGTCTACAGAATGATGCATGAAATTGTGACACACCAGCTGAGCATGACGATGAATCTATCGGGGGTGAAGGGCAAGCAGCCCTTAAATATTTACACAGAGATCATGCGGGCAATTCACAGTAAGTATAATGTATTCATGTTGAAAAAATGGGTATGCAAGATTCTCCACTAGCATTTTTGTCTGGGTGCGCCAAGACAAAAATAGGTTTTTGGGATTTAGCACACTGACAAGAAATCTGCCACCCAGACAAAAATTGGGCGTTAGTAATGGTTTTTCCATTAGAGCACCCTGACAAAATTTGCTGGCAGCCCAGACAAAATCAGAGCAGAGCTTCAAATCCTGGGTTTACCATCCTCACAAAAATATTCCAGTGGAGAAAACTGCTGATTCCAGACTGATGACCTCTGAGCATCAATTGATGTTGGAGGCGGAATATCTACCGCTATTACTATATCGCTAAATATTACTGCTATTACATAGGACTCGCGTGGATGTGCTGTGTGTATGTTACCATAGAAACTCAACAACCGATAGTGACCAACACTCTCGATGGCGGTAAAACGAGTGTATTTTCAATGCATTTATATAGGATTGTACATATGCTGGCGGTTGGCGGTAGGCCTATGACGAGGCTAAATTACGTACAAATAGATACAAACGATTTGTACATTGGGTTTTTCCTGGCGATAAGTGAGATTGGCGGTATTACGAGGGGCGGTATAGCGAGGTTTTACTGTAATTTCATCATGGTAATACAGCTTTGTTGTTGAATTAATGACACTGTTTCTAATGTGTGAGAGCATGTATGCATTGCATACCTTGAAGGTTCTGACAATTTATTTTGTTGAACAGCCCAATATTCCTAAAAGTCTTGCATGTCTTTTTTCAGAAGCGGTACGTAAAAATGGCAATTTCCACAACACGACAGAAAAGGAAGTTGATACCTCTTTGGGAAGGTGGTTAAGCGGAGCCAAGGATATAGGCGCGGGGCCGCAATGAGAGACGACAGCGTCAAACTTGTAACGAACAATCGGATTAAAGCCATAATTACGAGAATTCTCCAGTGTTCGTATTCACCACTTTCATGATACCTACCGTTATTGCTTGAGTAACAGAAATTGTCTAGAGTAACGATAAAATGTCTTAAAACCTTCGTGTTCACCAAAACATGCATTGTATAATTTTTCGCATTGATTGTTTCTGAGCAAGAATCTCGTAATACATGCTTTAAAACTTTTTTTGGTGAATACGAAAGTTCTAAGACATTTTATTGTTACTCTAGACAATTGCTGTTACTCAAGCAATAACGGTAGGTGTCATGAAAGTGGTGAAAACACTGGAAAACTCTCGCAATAGTTACTTTAAGCTTGTAATGTGAAGAATTCTACATTTTTTCGCGTTGAAGGACATACCCCATGTTGTTGCCTGCTTCTCNCGTAGCATAGATATATAGGCGCATATGCCGACTCACATACATACGCGGATACTGCTATTGATTGGCCACGGTTGCTAGGGGCAACACCGTAGCATAGATATATAGGCTCATATGCCGACTCACATACATACGCGGATACTGCTATTGATTGGCCGGTTGCTAGGGGCAACGCCGCGTAGAAAGGATGCAGCGTCGCGGGGAGTCCGCGTCGCATGAGGGGGGGGGGGGAGTTGCCTTGTAACGTGGTTGTTACAGAGATTCCTTGCGTCTCCAACTCTTGAGCTCCCCACAGACAGCTATCCATTGTGAGATCGTACCATGAATAAAAGAAATTTCATATATATAATATAGATAGAGACAGACCCGCGAGGGCTCATACCTATGTGTCCCAGTACACAGGTACCTATGTGTCCCAGTACCTATGTGTCCCGGTACCTATGTGTCCAGCGAGTGGGGTCTGTGTTCACTGGATATTGTCTAGTGAATTCTTTGCGCGCAACCATGCACATTGAAATTAAGAAATTTTTCTATTGAATCAGAAAATGCATAGCTTTGGAATGGTACAATGCATTCTGAGATCGTAGCATCTGAACTGACTCTCAACTCGAGTGAGTAGTACCTCTGAACGGGTCCTGGTTATGCTCTGTTTTAGTATTGGTTTCGGTTTCGGTTTCGGTTTCACAATACCAGCAGCTGGAGAGCAGATCATGAGGCGAGGGCAAGAAATAGTCATAGGTTTTTCTGTGTGTGGCAGCACTGTACAGTGAGTGCTGACATTGTGTGAAGATTGACGAATTGACGGGTTTTTCACGGATTTTTCGGTGAGTTTGACGGTTTGACAGATTTTTTCTATCTAGGAACACTCCCCGGTATAACAGATGGCCCTGTGAAATTGCCATCCAGATCGCTCGGGCGGTTGGCCGCCTATAGGAAGATACATACATACATACATACATACATACATACATACATACATACATACATACATACATACATACATACTACATACATACATACATACATACATACATACATACATACATACATACATACTACATACATACTACATACATACATACATAATACATACATACATACATACATACATACATACATACATACATACATACATACATACATACATACATACATACATACATACATACATACATACATACATACATACATACATACATACATACATACATACATACATCATACATACATACATACATACATACATACATACATACATACATACATACATACATACGAACTCAAATATATATTAGATATAGTTGTTTTCCTGTTATACACGTATCCACGGCGCACATAGACATCACTGACGTTTTAATACAAATATATGCTTTCCATAACGTCATTCAGAACACATTCAAGTACGGTTTCTAGCTAGGACACCCTACAACAACTCTATGTTCATGTTACATGAACACCGTTCCACAATCCTTTTACACACCCAACACAGTCTTTTATCCATGTAACACAATCACGTTCTACACCCTTTTGCCTAGCGTTATAACACCGTTCTTCTAACGTTGTCGCGTTCCGTCGAATGCTATTTCTCTTCGTTCTTTCTAACGACATTTCATAGCACATCTACCATAGTCATATACCAGCCGGCTGCTGTACGTCCGACTCAATGCACATTTCAATTCATCTCCACGTGCACATTTCCCAACGTTGAACTTTCAACCTTTCTTCCTATCTCACGCCGCAATCACATCACCGCCCGCGCGTCTACATATATATAAATATCTCTATGTATATATATATATATATATATATCTACACTACGACTCTTTTTCCCCATACCGCTACATGAATATCTCTAGTATATATCCCAGCTGACTACGTGACCTGCCAAAGTATATATATTTATCGTGTGGCGCCAATCAGTCGAAGGGCATACGTTTTTACATACGCATATCTACGTCTACGGTTCAGGTACATACGTACGCCACAGCGTTTCATTATCTTCCCACACTGCCAGCGCTATATATATGTCTATATATATATCGACACACCACGCTCATATAAGGCTCTATATATCTATATGTATATACATACCTATCTAAATGTTTCTAGTCGCTACGTCTATATATACGTCATTTCTAAAGTACATAGTCACAGTCGCCAGTCGCCAGCTTATTTCGGTATATATGTATATGTATATGTATATATATATATATATATACATGTCTACATATACATATACACATCCTACACTGAGCAAACAATACATACAAGACGTGTATATCTCTCTCTCTCTATATATATATATCCAGATATATATCTATATATCTCTTTCTATATGTATATATACATATAGACATATATATCTCTATATATATACACACATTTATATCTATATATATATATTTATATATCTGTATATAGGTGAGTCGCAATATAACCAGATAGTGTATATAGCGTAGTGGCGCCATCTATCGGAGGAAAAAATCGTCTTTTATTACTGGACATCTCTATCCTTGAGCCGCACATTCTGCCATAGATGTAATGACACCAAATGCTCCAACTGGTCTAACCGAAAATTTATCCCCAAAACGCAAAATCAACGGGCCTTTTAACACTTATTTATCTACATGGACATCTCACCTATCTTTTTGAACACTTCCAGAACTTTACACCATGTATTTATGTATTTATTCCTAAAAGTCTTGGCACTACTGGTGTTTCATTTTCAAATGCGGTTGCTCTGCTTATGTGTGCATGCGTAACGTCACCCGAAATGTAGACAAAACACATGGGCAGCTATGATTCAGCCTAGTACATTTCGGGTGACGTCACGAGTGCACACATAAGCAGGTGTCATTACATCTATGGCAGAATGTGCTATAGCCCTGCGGGAGCTATCCGCGGGCTATAGTACTAGAGCTAGGTCTACTCGGGGTCTCGGGCCAGCCCCAAATACGTTCGATTTGGCAGTCACGTGGTATTTTTGCGTTACCCGGGTGAGGCCGAAGTAACCCGCTAGGCGTTAGCCAAGCCGCTCACGTGGGGAAGTATCCCACAATCCATTGCAACGAAATGGCGACGATATATCAGTGCAGGAATTGCATGAATGTAGCAGTACTTTAGTAATGAAGCATGACTGTCGATGACTGCGTGTGTTCGCTCATTCTTAAAATGTCATTAATAATAAGATTGCAATTGCTATTCTTTTTTTCTTGTCACTGGCATCCACGATGATAATTAACCCCAAAACCGTTCGTTTATCTTCCCTAACCCAGATGCGTTCGATTTCTTACCCAGGTTGTCCCAGGTGGCTCTGGGGAAGCAAATCGAACGCAGTCTTAACGAGACAAAGATGGCAGCGGGTGGCGCCAGATTTCGAAATAACGACTTGGGAAATAAATACACGATTTGAGAGTTTAGATGAGGTAGAACCCTAACCCTAACCCTAACTGTAATATTATGGATCAACGCATGTTGTTTGTTGATATAATATTTATTGTTCTGAGGAGCCATCCTCAAACACAGCTCACACGTCCAAGCACGTTAGCAGAGAGAGAGCGAGTCTCGTGGAATCTCGTACGCTCTCGTGCACGTCATAACGTTACATCATTACATCCCCCTTTCCAACTGGAATGTTACATCCCCCTTTTTTATAACAAACATGCAGAACTATGACAATTTATTTTTAACTCACTGCGGTTTGTATCCATATAACTGACTGAGAACTGAAAACTTATACCATAATATCGTGATTCTTGTGCAATTATCCTGTGTGAATAATGTGTGAATCACTATGTGAATAATTAATGATTGAATAATATAACACAACGTTCGTCGCTACAAAAAGGTTCACAAATAAATGCTTTCCGCATACCGGAATGTTCACAAATAAAACACTGTTAACTGGATTGTTCATCGCTTTGTACGTCTTTACCAGTTAACTAAACGAATAACGATTCAATTATAATGCAAAACATCTGACTTGCGATTATGCACACAACAAATCATAGCTTAATATAAGACTATTGTATGCATATTCCATGCACCATTTTTAGGTGTCTGAATAACGTTTCGGCATTCTAATCTGCCGCCCTGAACGGGTTCTATACGTGTAATTGTTGACTCTACCGCCAACAGCCATTCCTGTTTTGGTGGTCACTGGTCTTTCAGTCGTGTTGTGATGCGGCCGTGCCTGTGTAATCTGTGGCACAACGACTGGGTTGTCCTCAAAGTGGACTTGCTTGCCTGCTTTGGGCACACTACATAATTGTTGTCTATTACGCCTAAGGATTCTTCCATTTGGTGTTTCCACCATATAAGACTGTGGTTCTTGGCACTTTTAAATAACCTTTGCAGGTGACCACAGTCCAGTTTGCGGATCCTGTACCGTGATAGTCTCTCCCGTCATAAGGGGGGGGGGGGTAAACCTCTAGCTCCAGCTTGGTCGTGATAGTGTTTTTGGGTACCCTGTCTCTCTTGGAGGCGTTCCTGTACCCTATCCCTATTGTACGACTGTTGATAGCTGGGCGACGTTCTGACCGGAAGGTTACTAACCACTTTTCGGTTGAACATGAGTTCTGCCGGGCTTGGCAACTGACTGTCAATAGGTGTTGTCCTAACACACAGTAGGGCTAGATCAGGATCTGTCCTTGTTTCCTTAGCTTTCTTGAGGATTTCTTTGACTGTGCGCACGTTTCGTTCAATGAATCCATTGGATTTTGGGTACCTGGGGCTACTAGTCACGCCATATATCTGCCATGACTGTAGAAACTGCCTAAATTCAGCTGAGCCAAATTGTGGGCCGTTATCGGACATGATACGCTCAGGTCGTCCGTATTCTGACTGAATCTGTTTTACTAGTTGGACAACTGCACCTG